TAACTGAACCTATAACATTCATAATCGTATTAATTCGATCATGTTTTACGCATTATTACATTAATCAAATTAACACTTAAAAACAAAGGTTTAAATGAATTATCAAATAATTGTGAGATTTCTCCCTGAGGTCTGCGGGATGATGAACTTATTCGGTCGATACTTTTTGACTTGTTATCCTTGCTGATTTTGGCCTTTCGGACGCGTATTAATTTATCGTTTCCAGTAACCAATTTGGCCCGTTATTTGAGACATAGACAAAAGGCTTGGTTAAAAAAAAAGAAGGCATAAACTAGTTAAACGTTTCTACACAATCTGGAAAGGATCTGTGGGTTTTCAACCATGCGTTCCAACCTCCAAAGAATCCATTCCAAAATCCTAGGAACCATTACCCAATATCTTTACTTCATACCTAACCTCTATCCACAAAGGCCTTTTTGCTTATTTGTCCTGGAAACTGCAAGTATTCGATATCCATAAAACTCTCGACCGGGGTTTCAACCACGCGTTCCAACCTCCAATGAATCTAGTCCAAAATCCTTCGAACCATTGCCTAATCTCTCCACTTCATACCTAACCTCTATCCATACAAACCTTTTTTGTCAATTGTCCTGGAAAATGCAAGAATTCGATTCATATTCATCCATAACACCCTGGATTATCATCACAACCATGCGTTCCAACCTCCAAAGGATCCCGTCCAAAATCCTTCATTTTTCTTTGTCAAAACTGCACGAATTCGATATAAACGCATCCATAAAACACTACATCATCATCACAACCCCGTGGTTTCAACCGAGCGTTCCAACCTCCAAAGAATCCAGTCCAAAATCCTTCATTTTTCTTTGTCAAAACTGCAAGAATTCGATATAGACGCATCCATAAAACCCTGGATCATCATCACAACCAAGCGTTCCAACCTCCAAAGAATCTAGTCCAAAATCTTTAGGAAATGCCCGAAACCAGTCTGACGAAACATTTTTCATTTTAATTTTAAAATAATTTATTTATTTTGTTAAAGCGTACAATAAAATAGAATGAAACTTGGGCCTTCGCTGGAAGTTCGTCGAATTAAAAAATATACGGATAAACCAGCAAACTGAACTAAAATACGAAAAAATGGTGTTTAACATTTGATAGAGTCATTTTTACATTTTAGATTAAATATAATTATAATGTGTATAAAAAGTGGCTTATGTTGAAAGGTAAACTAATAAAACATATATATCACGAAAAATAAAAATTCGAATGTCTAAATTGAGTTGCTTTTTGATTTTTTATCATTGAATTGTTTATTTAGGTTATTATTATATAAAGTGGATTTCTGCTGATTGGGAGAGAATATTTTACTTTAAATTATTTTAAACTAAACTACCGAATTTTTTGCTGCACTTTCATCATGGCGATGGACCTGTAAATTGGCCCTTTTCCGGGCATCTAAGTCTGTCAGATTCGTGTTGGCTTCGCGATATCTCCAGCGGTGGAGAAAATTTTATCTAAATAATCTGATTATGAAGAGAAGGCGAAACTGGCATCCTACAAGGCAAACCTGCAAGGATTGGCAGATCAAAATGGTCCAAAATGACTTAACTGCTTTTTCAAAAAGTTCAAACTTTACTTTTCAACGGACATGTATCAACCAGATCTGTTTTACTGAATAAAAGGACGCTATATAATTTTTACATCATGTAGTTTTTCATATCATGAAAAAACTATAAAATAACAATATACTATTTATATTTTGTATATGTTCTCTTTCTATCATAAACATTATTTGATATGTTCATACTTTCATTATTTTATCTACTCTACTAATTATATTTCCTGTAAATGAAACTTTTATTAAAGTTAACAGTTTTTAAAATATTTTTCTTTGTTTACTTTGTGTTTAAGTAGAGTAATAATTCATTTATGATATCAAGATGACATATATTTTTTTAAATACTCGCATTGCTTATGGTGAAACGTTGTTATTGGAAATGTTAGTACTTCTGGGAAATATCAAAGAAACAATCGTTACTTTTCAATTTCCACGAATTTCTGTTTTTATTTCAATATAATGTGTGGTAATTAGTCACCGTTAATCGATATTTATTTAGAAATCGTGAGATGCGGTCTGGTGTGATGTAGGTTTCAGAAAAACATTTTTTTATCGTGCCAACGTTTCGATCTTTATTGAGATCATCTTCAGGGCCTGGGATTTACAAACATTGTTTACATTTAACAAATACATTTTGGATGTGGAAAGTGAATTTATACTATGCAAAATAGATTTTTTATATATTCAATCAAACTATGTGTTTTTCTGAAACCTACATCACACCAGACCGCATCTCACGATTTCTAAATAAATTTCAATATAATAACATATTGGCAATGTTAAAAACTTCTAAACAGATAGTGTCAAAAGGGTGTCACGGGAAGGGCTACGGAATCATTTCAATTAATTTTTTTTTTTGTCAAAAATATACGCGGGTCTCCTAGTGTTCTCGCTATGATAAAACCACATTTTCTAAACCAACATTAATAAAATATAAAAATAATTATTTTTGGGCCAAATAACTTTGCAAGGTAGGTTTAGAAAATATATTTAAACACGAAACAAAGTTGATTTTCGTATTCTGCACCCCAACAATACTCTGGATACCAATTTTTGTGAAAATCGACAACAATTTTTTTAAGGATATTTCGCCTTCGATTTTTTCCGAAAATTAAAAAAAAAATAACGATAAGTTTAAAACCATTACTTCGATATAAAGGAAAATTTACAAAGATTTATAATCTGAGTAGAAATACTTTGATTGAATATAAAAAATATTTTTTTGCATTGTATAAATTCACTTTTTTCCGCGTCCTACATGTATTTGTTAAATTTAAACAATGTTTGTAAATCCCAGGCGCTGAAGATGGTCTCAATAATGATCGAAACGTTGGAACGATAAAGAAAATGTTTTTCTGAAACCTACATCACACCAGACCGCATCTCACGATTTCCGAGTAATCACTAATTTTTATGATTTATCTTGTCATAAAATTTAAACCTTATCGATATAACCTGAAAAAATTGAATTTTCCCGGTCATGATACCATGGAAATTAAATAAAATTAGAGATTAATTATAAATTTTTAAGTGGAAAAGCGTAGAAAAAATTCCTTCAGAGCATTCAATCCCAAAAATGTTCTTATTTGCTATAAAATTAAGTCTTTAAAGTGTGTTTAAAACGAATCCGAATTGTGTGTTTTTTTAAATAAATTTTTAGCCTACATTGCTAGAAGGGTTTTTATTTCTTTTGTTACATTTTACATAACGAATCTCACTTGATACAATCCTGCTTATCCTTCTTATCTTTCGTAAAAACCAAATCGACTGATATTACTTTGAATACTTGTACATCAAAGGCAGAAAACCATATTTAAAAATTAGCGAGAATTATCAGACACGGATTATTTTTCGACCTAGTAAACCAAAAGAAGGTTCCGTGACACCAAGTCCCCAGTCACCCATTGTGAGATAACCAATACAATTTTAAAACATTATTAACCAATTTATTAGAGATGTTGAAATGGGGTAAAACGAAACGGACAAAAAATTTTATGCGGGTATTCCACGATTGGACAAAGTTCATTTGATTGTGTACGGCATTCTTTCGAAAGTCAAACAAGCATAAAGGACCTCATTAAAAATAATGTTCAAATTCAATTATTGAAAACCGAACGAGAGCGTTTTAAGCACAGTTAGTTTAAAAAAATCTTATTGAAACTAAAAATTGGCAGTAATTTCAAATTTTGGTACTTATCTAGTAACTTCTTTAAGGTACTTTTATCGTATAGCCTTTTAACCAATGAACCAATGGCATAACCAATTTGGTTGGCCAGTATTTTCAATAAAAAAAATCATTAGTAAGAGTTAATATTATGATTTGTTCTGAAGCTAAAAAAACAAGAATTATTTGTTATCAATTTTCCACATCCAAAATGTAATTGTAATATGTAAACAATGTTTGTCCCTGAAATCCCAGGCCCTGAAGATGATCTCAATAAAGATCGAAACGTTGGCACGCTAAAGAAAATGTTTTTCTGAAACCTACATCACACCAGACCGCATCTCTCGATTTCTAAATAAAAATCGATTAACGGTCACTAATCACCACATTATTTGTTTTGTCGTTTGTTCATTTTTTCACGTTACTTTTTTAGTGTGTGGTGTTTAGTGACCGTTAGTTAATGATTATTTGTAGATCGTGAGATGCTGTCTGGTGTGACTGTTTTAGGTTCATTTGAGATTAAGATATTAAACTCTTTCTATGAATTATTAAAAAGCTAGAAAAAAAATTCCTTTTTAAGGGCAGTTACTTCAAATTTGTTAATTGAAAGCAAATTAAAATTGGCATTACTTATACCGTATAGTCTTTTAACCAATGAACCAATGGCATATCCAATTTGTTTGTCCAGTATATTTACCTTATAAAAAAATCATAAGTAACCGAAAATATGATTTATTATGCAGTTAAAAAAATTAATTCTTATGAAATGATTTGTATGTTTTGTCGTTTGTTCATGTGACTTTTTTTACGGTTATTTCAATTTAAGATAGTAAACTCACTATATGATTTAGTAAAAAGCTAAAAAACAAACAATATTTTATAAAAGTATGTTTATTCTTTTTTCATGTTAGTTCTTTAGGTTTATTTGAGTGTAAGATAATAAACTCATTTTATTATTTATTATAAAACTAAAAAAACTGTATCTAAAGGATTTGTTTGTTTTGTCGTTTGTTCATTTTTTCATGTTACTTTTTAGGTTTATTTGTGTGTAAGATAATAAACTCATTTTATTATTTATTATAAAGCTAAAAAAAACTGTATCATCTAAAGGATCTGTTTGTTTTGTCGTTTGTTCATTTTCATGTTAATTTTTAGGTTTATTTGAGTGTAAGATTATAAATTCATTTCGTTTTCTTAAGAGTTAAAAATTGCGAGGGAGAATAAAAAGATAGTATGTAATTTTTTAAAATTTGCTCTGTATATTTTCTTGTATATGGAGCCTGCGTTGTTCTATACATAATTATGTACAAAATATAAATATTGTTCTTTCTTTTTAAATACTATACAGTTACAATACAAATAGTCCAATCTTATTTACACTTTTCGCCATGGGCATTATCATTTAGGGACATAAATAATTTAGTAACTATATACAACATAAATTATAGACTATATACATGATAAACAACGCTATGTACACAATTCTTTTTTTGGTAACTTTGTAAAAACAAATCTAATAAACAGAAAATATAAAACAATATACAGGAAGTATAAGACACCCGCCGAATGAGATCAAATTCTTGTGTTTTCTTATGATAAGAAAAGAAATTCGGGTTACCCTGAATGTGTATAATTGTTATAAAAAAGTTTGTTAGTTTTTGTTTACTTTGTGCATAGACTCACTAGCTGGCAGATCTCGAGTGACACGGAGATTCGAAGGTTGCGGAGTATCCGAGATGAAACAGCCGATCGTCCAGCATTGGCTCGGGCCAGCGAGCAGCGAGGATTTCAAATTTGCAGTTTGTCGTTAGTAAACAAGTACTAAAAAACGGGCTCATTAGCTGCCCGACCTGGAGATGAGGGTGACCGGCTTGAAGACCATCCTTGGCTCGGGGCTGGACGGTGAAACTTGGTGGTTCCTCGGAGCGTACATGTCGTAGGCCGGTGGAGGCGCGGGTGCGTGTTGGTAGGTCGACGGTGCCAGGAGCCGCTCCACCGAGAAACCGTGTGCCTGTGGTTTAGGCAGAGGGACGGACGGAATCGGCACGTACGGAGAAGCAGGCGGATACGTCGAATACCTATGGTACAGAGGAGCGCAGTAGAGCTGGCTCAAAGGGTTCACGGCCCAAGGGGCACCGGCGAAAGACGGATAAAGTCCTCCTAAAACCACACTCCTTTTAAACGCCGCAAGACGGCTCCTGGAAGCGGCGGTGGACCTCCTCCTCAATTTTCCAGTCGTTCCGCCGATAAAAACGTCCTCCGCACTCTGGTCCAACATCCAGTAATTTCCCTTACCGGGGTCGTCGTAGTGCCTCGGCACTTTCACGAAGCATTTGTTCAAAGACAAATTATGCCTAATCGAGTTTTGCCAACCCTGCTTGTTGTCTCGATAGTAAGGGAAGTTTTTCATAATGTATTCGTAAATACCGTTAAGTGTGAGCCTTTTTTCCGGCGACTCCCTGATTGCCATCATGATGAGAGCGTTGTAGCTGAAGGGCGGTTTTTCGTTTTTCTTCTTCTCCTCGGGTTTGTCGTCTTCCCGTTTTAATTTGGTGGAACAGTCGAGGGGCGGTGGAGTGGAGCCGCCGGTAACGTCCAAGTCGGAATCCGTGTCGGTCGTCTCCGAGTAACAGCTCTGGGGTACGCAAGCCTCGACGATCGGGCTGGCCGGCCTGGAAGCCGTTTCCGGAAGGATGGAACTGATCGTGAAAGACGATTTCAAAGGAGTCCTGGCGGCGATCGGCTGGGGCGTAGATTCCATCTTCACCATGTTGCCTTCACTTGTGCACAGCATAAGCAAAAATTACGTTTTGGAACACGTTTTATCCTTGACACCTCACTGAGCTCTTTCCTGAACGAAATTCGCATCGAGACTGGCCATACCGGTCTAGGAGGGGAAATATATACTTGGGGGAGGTGCGCGCCCCTCTACGACTCCGGTGCGGCACCAATCTCCGATGGCTCCGCCTCTCCTCGCTTCTTCTGTTGGCCGACAATGGTGGGGAAAAGCCGCACAAAACATGCGCACCAAACTGAATTCAATTATTTCCAAATATTTGCGTCCGGCCCCCGTCGGGGATCACTCGTCCTCCTCTGTTCGATTCACCGCATGTCGCACCCCCGACCCCTACAAATCTAACACGATTAACCCTTTTCTCTTTTTAAACAAACACCAATTCATTTCTCTCATCCGCCTAATCCGAATATCCGTTTAAATCGGTATGTACACACACTCATTTCCTCCGACTCGCCGATGCTTTAGGAAACTTAAGATTTCTTCGCAATTTCTTGGGGTAGAAACAATGAACCAGCTTCTGAAAGATCCCAAATTTATAATCTAAAATGTGTATTTCTTAGTGACCTGTTGTTTCACAATTTGTTGAAGTCGTGAGGAGCGGTCAAGAATGGACTAGATTAGAAAAACACCTTTTTTCGTAAAAAAAAATGAAAAAAGTGTTTTTCTAAACTACCTCATTCTCGACCACTCCTTACGACCTCAACAAATTAGTGTACAAAAAAAAGAACTAGGCTAAAAATTCAGTTTGATACTTTAAACTATTTCTCGATATGTAGATTTTTTTCAGCTATCTTGATTAGGTAAATCATTCATTTTTTTTTTATTAAAAAAGAAATGTGTGATGATAGGTGGACAAACACTTTGAGGGAGTAGAAATACTTTGATTGAATATAAAAAAATATTATTCAGAAAATTATTCAGAAATCGTGAGATGCGGTCTGGTGTGATGTAGGTTTCAGAAAAACATTTTCTTTATCGTGCCAACGTTTCGATCTTTATTGAGATCATCAGCTGATCTCAATAAAGATCGAAACGTTGGCACGATAAAGAAAATGTTTTTCTGAAACCTACATCACACCAGACCGCATCTCACGATTTCTGAATAATTATCGATTAACGGTCACTAATCACCACACAAATTTAAACAATTTTTTGGAAACTGAAAAATTTGTATCACAGGCGGGATTCGAACCCACGACTTTCGGCTGGAGGTTTCATGTGGAAATGACAAGGTCGGAGTTGCCAGAGAGGATTAGTGTATCGTCTGCAAATGTGAATCTGGTGGTTTTGGGATGAGATGGCATCTTTGAACACTAGGTATAACGTAGCGGCCAGAGCGCTACCCTGAGGAACACCAGCATGGATCGAAGCCGAAAGTCGTGGGTTCAAATCCCGCCTGTGACAATTTATTTCGAAAAAAAATTGTGTTTAATTAATTGAGTATTTAAACAATAATTATTCAGAAATCGTGAGATGCGGACTGGTGTGATGTAGGTTTCAGAAAAACATTTTCTTTACCGTGCCAACGTTTTGATCTTTATTGAGAAAATCTTCAGGGCTCAAAGTGTTTGTCTTCTGTGTAATTGTGCCATTCTTGCGTGTCGTGTTGAGAGTGCCCAATGAAAACAAACACTTTGAGCCCTGAAGATGATCTCAATAAAGATCGAAACGTTGGCACGATAAAGAAAATATTTTTCTGAAACCTACATCACACCAGACCGCATCTCACGATTTCTGAATAATTATCGACTAACGGTCACTAATCACCACACAAATTTAAACAATGATTGTAAATCCCAGACCCTGAAGATTATCTCAATCTCGAAAGATCGCAACGTTGGCAAGATAAAGAAAATATTTTTCTGAAACCTACATCACACCAGACCGCATCTCACGATTTCTAAATAATTATCGACTAACGGTCACTAATGACCACACAAATTTAAACAATGTTTGTAAATCCCAGGCCCTGAAGATGATCTCAGTAAAGATCGAAACGGTGGCACGATAAAGAAAATGTTTTTCTGGAACCTACATCACACCAGACCGCATCTCACGATTTCCGATTTTTTTTTTAAATTAAATTTATTTATTAAAACTGGTCTTATTAGACCATCCATTAATTTTACAATAATACTATAGAATAAATAAATGTTTACATTCTTATTTGTACAATTCCATTGGTACAATAAGATTTACATTTCACTATTCACTATTCACTTTTAACTACACAAGTTCATATGGCTTTGTTCTTTTTACTTTCCTGACCATGCTTCGGTTATGTAAGAGTTTGGTCGCTTCTCGTGCTGGCTGAGGCGAGCCTTGTGTTTAGCGGCAAATCTTTGTATTTCCGCCGTGACTTTAGGGATCTTAAGATCCCTAAGTAAGTCCTTATTCCTTATGACCATGCTACGTAAGATTTTATTTTGGAGTGTTTGTATGATTTTGATATTGCTGTGTTTGGTACAGCCCCATAGTTGAATACCATATGTCCACATAGGCTTTATGACTTGTTTATATAATAATATTTATTTTTTATAGCAAGATTGGAGCCACGTCCTATCAACCAGTATAGTTGTCTATACCTTAAACCTATTTCTGTCCTTTTTTTCTTCACGTGTTCTTTCCATCTCAGCCTGGCATCTAAGGTCATTCCCAGATATTTAGCTGTATTGCTGTATGGTATAGTAGTTCCATCGATTTTGAGCGACGGAACATGGTCCACCTTTTTGTTTGTAAAGATTAGATGGACTGATTTATGTTGATTTAGCTTGATTTTCCATTTTTTTGTACATTCGTTTATCTCATTACATGCATTTTGGAGGATTTTAGTTGAATGGGTGATAGTCGGTCTTAGTGATATCACCGCTGTGTCATCTGCAAATGTTGCAATTTTTACTCCATCTATTTTCGGAAAATCACTGGTGTATAACAAGTAAAGCAGTGGACCTAATATGCTACCTTGTGGCACTCCTGCATTTATTGTTTTTAATTTTTAATATTGATCTTCTTGTTTGACTCTAAACAGTCTGTCAGATAGGTAGGAACTGATAATATCCATATACTGCTTTGGTAGCATACCTTTTAGTTTATTGATGAGTCCTTCGTGCCAGACCTTGTCAAAAGCTTGTGAGACATCAAGGAAGATAGCAGAACAAATCTGTTTTTCTTCGAGAGACTTTTCTATTATGTCCGTTACTCGGTGAATTTGGTCTATTGTTGAGTGTCTTGTTCGGAATCCAAATTGGTGGTCAGGAATAATTTTCTTTTTTTCAACGATGCGTTTTAACGATTTCTGAATAATCATTAAAAAAGAAACTCAATTTATTAAAACATACGCAGGTCGATATTCTATTCTGGTCAAGGGCATCCTTCCATCCACCTACTATCTCATACTGAAGAGTTACCTCACTGACCGATTCCTCCAAGTCATCGAAGCCCATTCCCTCTCTTCATATTTTCCTATCCATGCTGGTGTTCCTCAGGGTAGCGTTCTGTCCGCTACATTATACCTGGTGTTCACAGATGCCATCTCATCCCGAAACCATCAGATTCACATTTGCAGACGATACACCAATCCTCCCTAGCAACTCCGACCTTGTCATTTCCACATGAAACCTCCAACAACACCACATACTACTAGAGTCTTGGTGTAAAAAGAAAAGGTTAAAATTTAACGCAGACAAATCCACCCACATTATCTTCACTCTCCGTAAAAAGATTTCTTAAATAATATTCCCCCTCCCGACTGCGGACAAGGTGCACTACCTCGGACCGTACATCGACCAACGCCTGACGTGGAATCGTCAAAGATTGACTGAAACGTCAGGAGGTTATGACACGAAATAGAGCTCTTGCACAACTTCAAAACGAGCTTACCATATTTAAGCCGATATGGACTTACGGACTGGAAGTGTGGGGTTCAACTAAACATTCCAACATCCACCGCATTCAAACAGCTCTTAATACTACGAAAAATAATACATGCTTCATTTTATATATTGAACCTAACTGCACATACAGATATTCATATCCCTTTTGTTCAAGATGAAATCCGTTCCCGTTACCGTAAATTTCATAAAAACCTCCCAACTAACGTAAATCAGCACATCAGAAACCTCGCCAACAAATCCCCTCAAACCATCCCCGCCGACTGAGNTCCCGCTCGTGCCATTGACTTTTTTTATCTCAACTAAAAACCTTAATTAATTGTAAACAGATAATATTTTAGTAACATTCGAGTAATACCAATGAGTGTTTTCTCTTGTTGAGTGTGTCTCTTGGTTTTATTTTTGTATTTATTACCTTGCTCACTGTTACACTCATACAACTTGAAAAGTAAAAAGTTCGTTTTGAATTTTTTTTTAAATGTAAAAGAAGGAACAAGATTGTATTTTGCTTGATTTTATTTGAGTTTTATTAACGAATGCAAAATCAAAAAAATAAATCAATAGTTTAGAGTTTGATTTTGTTTTATGTGATGTTTTAGCTTTAATAATAAACTTGATCGTGTTATTTTTTATGGTAAGTAAATATAAAATAGTTTAACGATTACCTTTCTTCTTTCATACAAAACCAATATATCACCACAATAATAGCACCACACTTTATGCCCTGAAGAATGTGATGTTTAAAATTAATTAGTTGAAGTCGTGAGGAGAGGACAAGAATGAGGTAGTTTAGAAAAACACCTTTTTTATTTTTTTGCCGACGTTTCGACCTTCATTCGGGTCGTCTACAGGGCATAAGTATGGTGCTATTACTGTGGTGTCATATTGGTTTTGGGTGAAAGTATTGTGTGATTTTATGCCCTGAAGATGATTCGAATAAAGGTCGAAACGTTCGGGAAAAAAATGAAAAGGTGTTTTTCTAAACTATCTCATTCTTGACCGCTCCTTACGACTTCAACAAATTAGTATGCAAAAATTTCAACTGGGCAAATATTTCAGTTTGATACTTTAAACTATTTCTCGATATTTAGGTTTTTTCAGCTACCTAGATTAGTTAAATCATTCATTTTTTTATATTAAAGAAGAAAATGAATTTATGAAAACATACACAGTTCGGTATTTTGTTCTATTCATCAAATCATTC